GCTAATTTTTGTATTTTTAGTAGAGGTAGTATTTCACCATGTTGGCCAGGCTGGTCTTGAACTCCTGACCTCAGGTGATCCTCCCGCCTTGGCCTCCCAAAATGCTGGGATTACAGGCGTGGACCACCATGCCCGGCCAATACTGGTTTTAATGAAACGTTGTGATGTATATATAAGTCGTTATAGTTTGGTACCTAGTTAAGCAATTGTCCCATATATCACATGGGAATATGATATTTTTAGGAAATAAAGTCCTTCAACCTACTACATACTGAATTGTTATCTTATTATTATTATTTTATTTTTTTGAGACAGAGTCTCGCTCTGTTGTCCAGGCTGGAGTGTAGTGGCACTATCTCGGCTCACTGCAACCTCTGGCCAGGCTGATCTCGAACTCCTCACCTCAGGTGATCTGTCTGCCTCGGCCTCCCAAAGTGCTAGGATTACAGGCGTAAGTCACAACGCCCAGCCTAAATTGTTATCTTAGACTACCTAATTATAAACATCTTAAGAAACTTGCTAGTAACAGGGAACTAAAATTAACAGCTTTGGACTTTTCAATCTTCTTCTTATATGGCACTGTCATATGCTGTTACTTGGATTAATGTTGGCTGTCCAGTTAGTTGAGAGCGATTCTTTCCAATTAGATGCTTATTGCCAAAAATCACTAACTTTTAAAATAAAGTATGCCATCAGTTAAAGTATGCCTGGGAAATCTTTCCTTGATCCAAATCACTGGGATTGATCTTACCCTAAACCCATATTATTTGTGCTTTTGAAAGTGATTTGAAACTCAAATATTTTGGTTTTTGCCCTTTTGTTTGTTTTTTTCACTGCCCCAGCTTGAAGAAGAGAGTAAAGGAGATTGTACATAAAGCGTTTTGGGATTGCTTGAGTGCACAGCTAAGTGAAGACCCCCCAGCGTATGACCATGCTATCAAACTTGTAGGAGAAATCAAAGAGGTGAGGCAAAGAGTGAATTGTGATGCTTTTCTGGTGTGTTAGGAGTGTGTATTCAACTTCTTGTGTCACCACCAGAAGTCTTTAAAGAAATTGAAGGATCAAGAAGTTAAATTACTTGCCAAAAGGTGGATCAAGAGTGTTTTTGGCTTAATGCCCTTTTTTAAAAAAAGTTTTAAGCAAACCATGATAACCTGAAGGCATTAAAGACAACAAAGTTATTTCACAAAATCTAGATTATTTATAAGTTTTAATAGATGTGGACACATTCCATTTATAATGGCCAAAAAGTGACTCAGCCTTTGGGATCAAGAAAGCTTTAGGTGGAGGGACTTTTTGCAGTGCCTTTAGCAATAGCATCAAAGAAGAAATGTATGCATGGAAATTGTCATCTGTGATTGGCTCACAGGCTCACATTAATAAACATGCTTTTCTTTTTTCACCATTAACAGTTTTTTTTCTATCCATTTAATTGCTATGTAGAGCTTAAATGAAAGCTTGAGTAGCTATTGTAAATGATTTGTAAGCATGTTTTTCTGTAGGTTTGTTGAATAAGAGGTAAAAGATGTGCAATATTACATAGCAATTGGTAAGCCCTTATTTGGATAGTTATAAATTGCATATAATTAGAAATGATGTCTAAGGAATTTTGATTAAACGTAGCTGTGTTCTCTTGTAGACTCTCTTATCTTTCTTGCTGCCTGGTCATACTAGACTGAGAAACCAGATAACAGAAGTCTTGGATCTGGATCTGATAAAGCAGGAAGCAGAGAATGGGGCCCTAGACATTTCCAAACTGGCAGAATTCATTATTGGCATGATGGGGACACTGTGTGCACCTGCTCGAGATGAGGAAGTTAAGAAACTAAAGGACATTAAGGAAATAGTGCCCCTTTTCAGGTATGGAAATATGTTAATCATACTCCGGCAACTACAATTCAGAGGCATTTTCTTTTTTTTTTTTTTTTTTTTTTGAGATGGAGTCTCACTCTGTTGCCTAGGCTGGAGTACAATGGCGTGACCTTGGCTCACTGCAACCTCCACCTT